TTATGTATATATTATTAATTTCTTAACGACAAAATTTTAAATATATTTATAATTTCATCATATTTTTTTTTTTACTAAAATGTTCCCAGCTTTCTTCCAATAACTTTTCATGTATATATTTGAAACTTTCTAGCTACGCCAAATGGCGTTTCTCAGTTTATTTCCCCACAACTTTACAAGCAAATGTCAATATTTGTCGTTCAGTTTGACTTAGGTCAGGTTTGTTGTTGACAGAGAAACTTGTTAGCTTTGTAAATATTTGCCATTTTGGCAAATATATGAGTAACTCATTATGTTTATTCTCTGAGCTATCATTGTCATTGTTGAGTGTTGAATAAATCAATCAATTGATTTGCCAGACATTCAGGCAGCATTTTCCATAATCAGCCATAAAAAATTATGATATCCAGTGAGCCGTTATCTATTTATATATTTTTATTGACTCAAATGGAGCTAGAGAACAACAACAACCTGTTACCATTGTGTGAATAGACAGACGTTTTGATCAGGTAAACGGGGCTCTCAAATGGTGTTTCCTGATTCAACAGGAACACAAAAATAAAGTAAATAAATATTTGCATATGACAAAAAGAGAAAACGTCGAAGCAATTGAAAAATCGAACAACAACAACGACAACTGCTGCAATTTACGCTACCTGGCATAGAATCAATTTGCGTCGGTGCGTCGATCTATCTATCTATCTATCGATCAATTGAGGGCCTTGCCAAACGAACGAACGAAGGCCAAGTGCAAGGCCAGCGGGCATCGGCTTGCGATTGTAAACGGCGCCAATTGTGGGCGTGTCCAGCAGGGAAAAAAGTAATCGGGTTTGTTATGACAGCCGCAGATTCGAAGGGGCGTTGCCATTGCATTGGCAGGCGCCAAATGCAGCCCATCGTAAGCGGCCGTTGGGTTATCGGCTGGGGCCAATGCATCAGCTCATGCATTACAACATGATTGAAGTGCTTTATTGGCAATATTATATACAGACACAGACATTTCTGATATATACATATATATAATTAAATATGTAAATAAATATAAGCACATGTCTTTACAGCCGCACACCTATATATGTATATATATATATATATATATTTACATAGAATAGAGTACATAAAAAKCTAAGCGAATCTCTTTGAGTTGGCTGAGTACTTAGGAAATAATTGAACTACACTTAAGCAGAGAAACCATATGGATAAATGTTGTACATTTCGTGTGAAGGACACGCGGCGTATGCGTCATATGCGCCTGCACCCTCTCTGGGCCCTAGCCACGTATGTACACATGGCGTACGCCCTCTAGATTCTCACAGGAATCTCTATTTTTAATGTCCGCTGAGCCACGTTTGTATTTGACTGGAACTTCGGCCCTTTGTTTCCACCACGGCTACGGCCACATAAACCGTAGCCAGGGCCATGCAGCCGGCAAAGAACCAGAACGTTACATCTGAGCCCCACTCTGTTATCATGATTCCGAAGCATTTGGTCACCACAAACACGCACAGCCAGTTGGCCATGACAGTGAGCGCCACGGCGGTGGCTCGGACATCGGGCATGAAGAGCTCGCCCATCATCAGCCACGGTATGGGTCCGTAGCCCACCGAGAAGGTGATGATGAACAGCACCATGCAGAGCAACGGCAGCCAGCCAATGTGCGAGACATCCTTGCCGCTGTCCTTCATGTCAAAGTAGGCGCCCAGTATGGCCAGGCAAATGGTCATCACGGTGCTGCTGAAGAGCAGCAGCATCTTGCGGCCGGCTCGTTCGATCAGCACCGATGAGGTCAGCGTCATGATCACCTGCACCACGCCCACAATGATAGAGCAAATGGAGGCGTCCAGGCTGCTGCCGGCCGACTTGAATATGGATTCTGTGTAGAATATGACCGCATTGATGCCCGAGAATTGCTGGAAGAACATCAGCAGGATGGAAATGATGAGTCCGTTGCGTGCACCACGATTGGTGAACAGATCCAGGAACGAAGCATCTGCGCCCGTCTGATCCAAATCGTTTTGTATGACCTGAATGGCGCTGCGCGAGTCGCAGTAGCGACCCCACAGCCACTTGAGGGACAACGCTGCCTCCGCGCGACGACCCTGTCAAAGAAATCAGAAAAGTCAATGAGCTCGCAGGGAATTATCACGTTGACTAACGGCTCACCTTCTTCAGCAGGTAAACAGGTGTCTCTGGCAGCATGACCATGCCCACGAGCAGAGCAATCGGCACAAAGAGGCACAGAATGCTGAGCGTAGTCCACGAGACCATGGAACCGACCACATAAATGAAGAGTATGCCCATGGTGAGCAGCAGCTGGAAGAGCGTACCCAGCGTGCCGCGAATGCTAGTCTCAGCGATCTCTGAGATGTACATCGGAGCCACCACACAAAAGCTGCCCGTCGATATGCCTAAGGGAGATCGAAGAAAAATTGTCATACAAATGAATCGATAGATGAGTTGCTGAACTTACCAATTAGAAAACGGCCAAAGTACAGCCAACCGGCTGACTTGGCAAAGCTGATCGATAGCCAGGCCAAAATGAACGGGACATCCATCGCCATTGCCGTGTAACGTCTGCCAATTGCATCGGCTATATAACCCGTGGGTAGAGCGCCCAAGAAGGCGCCAATGGCCAGTAGTGAACTAACCCAAGTCTCTGCAAGTAAACAACGCAAAAATCAATTATCATCAATCTACACGTGTAAAACTGTTTGCCCTGACTGAAGGATTGATCGATTGAGCGATCGACCTGATTGATGATTGACTGCTGGTTGATGATCAAATATAATCAAATTAATTTGTAGTTGAAACAGCTATTATAACATCATAGTTCATATATACTCTTTGCTCTGATTGATTGAATGATTAAGACTCAAAACATTGGCTAAGCTGTGGGATATCGAAATTTTCAGTTCTGGGAGTAAACTCTTATGTAAGTGAAACGACTGTCGTCGAACTGCAAATCTGACTGATTGACTGATTGATGACCAGTCTCAGCTTAGCCTGTTAAAACCAAGGAGTAAAATTATAAACGGAAGTTTTCTCATCTGTTACCAGTCAATATATTTAGGGACTATACATCATGAATGAACTGAATTGGGCAAAAATGGAATGCATGTATGATCCAATTAAAAGTACTTTCATTTGAAAACTCTACAAGATAGTCTAAGTTAATAAATATATTGAGTGGTGACATCATGAAACTTACAGCGATTAGAACTTGACTCACATGATAATAAATGCATTAAATACAAAGTTATTCCTATACCCTTAAATTGTGCAATAATATATTTCTCATAAATAAAGGAAATTAAAAGACCACAAGTTAAATTGGGGTCTAGCTAAGGCTCTATTGTTTCATTTGCTAACTAATTTTTCAGATCAGTTTCCAGATAATAATTTCGGAGACTGAATAGCTGGTATAAGTACAATAATTTGATTCTTAACACATATGCAGATAATAAGCTTACATGTATTAAAAATCTTCAACAGATTACTTTTATACCTTGTAAATTTCATGCCAAGAAGTGTATGAATTCTTCGAGTGAGCCTTGTGATATCAAATGAACACAGATTAAAGTCATAAATTGCCCCCGATAATACTTTTATATGTAAGCATAGCGATATAAGAGAAACTTACGTTGGGCGACAGTTAGTTGTAGTTGGTCATCGTGCGGTATGGGTGGGCTAACTGGGCTAGTCTCATTTCCAGTAGAGTTGGTCGGAGTCACTATTGTACTGCTATTAACTACGGGCGCACTGATTTGAGGCAGCACGGGACTGGTCCAGGCCAAGGCAGTGCCCGCAGCAACAGCGCCCAGGCAAACTGTGAAGATATAGAGCACAGTTATGAGTTCATTCTTGCCATCCTCGATCGTTTGGTCTCACTGATAAGTGCTGCTATATATTGGCGGGTCTTGGAGGTCTTCACGACGCCATCCAGTGGATCGTAGAGCATTGGATTGTGTGACATGCCATCATTATCTTCTTGGCTAACAGTCTGATAAAAAGGGAGAGAAACGAAATTGAAATTGTATCGTCCACTGAATTTTGAGGCGAATCTATTTGCGTATTCGCCCACACGTGCCGTGTCACAAACTAGGCCAAGAGAAGCCAGCCTCTGCACAAGATGGGGTTAGGCATTGTGGGCCATTTCATCAAGGCAGTATGGTCTACAATGAAGAGTATTTATGGTAGCATAATATTGCTTACAGCTCTTAAGAACTCCCGGTTGCCCGGTAAAGAGCAATTGGAGGTCAAAATACGATGGCGCACACGAATACGCAAAAGATAATAAAAATATTTAGCAAATCCAACAGAAATTTTAATAAATACCTAAGGCACAGTGTGCGAGTGTTTGTCTGTGTGTGTGTTTATTTTTAAAAAAGAAGGTGTGTTCATTTGAATGTTTTGATATTTGCGGCACTAGAATTAGAATCCGAGCAACATTTGGCCTTTACCTGCCACCAGCGCGCCATGGCGCCCACAACTTTATCCGAGTCCATTGTAGGGCTTATCCGAAATGAAATGAAATATCCCGAAACGCGTTACATAAACACAAAACGACTAACGACTTCAAATTATTATCTATATATAT